CTTAAGTAGAGGTCAAAAATCCAGGGGCGTATTCTGTGGCCAAAAATAAGGGTTTTTTGTTATATAAATGTGGGGTCTTAGGACAGCCATTGTCCAGCTACAGCGTGTCAAAAATTAAAAAAAAAAATCAGTTTCTAATTTTTAATTTCTAAAACGTTTGAGATAATTTAACCAAATTCGGCGTGCTAAATCGTTAGCATGACAGTGGCTATGAAACAAAAAATTACCAACTTTAGAAACATACCAGTGGTGGAGGTGTGCATATCGTCGATGATTATTAAGAATAAGAAGAATTATTAAGAAGAAGAAGAATATACAATGGCGCATATGGTGACCTATTTTATTGTAACATTATACAAGGTGATATATATTGTTTTGGCAATGATCGATGATAGTCACACCTCCGCCCCTGGTAAGTTTCCAAAGCTGGTAATTTATTGTTACATACCTATTCTCATACTAAATATGCACACCGAATTTGGTTAAATTATCTCAAGCGGTTTAGAAATTACAAATTAAAAACTGATTTTTTAAAAAATTTTGACACGTATCTGGACAATGGCTGTCTTAAGACCCCACATTTATACAGGGTGAGTCAGTTTTTTGTAGACAAACTTTAACAGGAGATAGAATACATGTTTTTGAAAAGAAAAGTTCCTATAAACATATGTCGTAGAAGGCTTCGTTTCCGAGATACGGGGTGTTGAATATATTTTTTTTTCTCGAATTTTCATTATCTTATATATAAAATTCTCGTGTCACAATGTTCGTTCCCGTACTCCTCCGAAACGGCTTGACCGATTCGCATGAAATTTTGTGAGCATATTGAGTAGGTCTGAGAATCGGCCAACATCTATTTTTCATACCCCTAAATGTTAAGGGTGGTCCACCCCAAATTTTTTTTTTATTTTTTGGACAAAATTTTCTGTTTTTATTTTTTCATGATTCAGCATTGAAAAATACATACAGTTCTAAATGTTCACCCTTATACGATCAACCCCTGATTTTTAATGGCGATTTTTATATTATTTTGTTCCATCCACAGTTCCACAAGATGGCAACACAACGTTTGCCGGGTCAGCTAGTAATTTATAAACGAATGCTTAGATTTTTTTCATGTTTGGGAGATAATGTCTATTAATTAAGTGGCATAAAACAAGCGATAAGAATGTTCAAAAACTTGCACAGTGGCGGAATGGAGGGGGTGCTCAACCCTTTCTTAAACAGAACTTCTACGCCAATGACTATTTTTTTAAAAAACTGTTATTTCATTATCTACATACAGTTTAACAAAAATAATGTCCCTTCTTCCGTTTCGAAATTCCTGTGCGTTTAAGAGTTATTTTGATTTTTAGAGTTTGATGTGGTACTAAATTAAATAATTTATTTATTATCAATTATCTGTTAAATATTTAATTATATCAACGAAACCTACCTAAATATGGTTTGTTAAGGATTCTAAAGGCCGAAATGTCTTATTCTTTTTCTCTTTCCAATGTAGTCAAAATAAATATTTGTTATATATCAAGCCATACTCAAATACAAGACTTTTATAAGTTGAAATCTGTTACATTACATACATACAATACATTATTGTGCCGTTGTCAAAAAGTTTTAAGAAGATGTTACTTAAATATTGTTCTAAATTCAAAAAATTTCTCCATAAACGTTTACATCAATGTTCATTCAATGTTTTTTTTTGTAATTTAGTTGCAGTACATTAGTATTTACGCAGCTCATAATAAATATAAGGATTGTGAAAATTAGTGTACCTACTAAACATATTTCAACTTATAAAAGTCTTGTATTTGAGTATGACTTGATATAACAAATATTTATTTTGACTACATTGGAAAGAGAAAAAGAATAAGACATTTCGGCTTTTTAGAATCCTTAATAAACCATATTTAGGTAGGTTTCGTTGAAAGAATTAAATATTTAGCCGATAATTGATAATAAATAAATTAATTTAGTACCACATCAAACACTAAAAATCAAAATAACTCGGAAACGCACAGGAATTTCGAAACAGAAGACGTGACATTATTTTTGTTAAACTGTATGTAGATAATGAAAATAACAGTTTTTTAAAAAAATATTCATTGGTGTAGATGTTCTGTTTAAGAAAGGGATTGAGCACCCCCTCCACTCCGCCACTGTGCAAGTTTTTGAACATTCTTACCGCTTGTTTTATGCCCCTTCATTAATAGGCATTATCCCCCAAACATGAAAAAAATCTAAGAATTCGTTTATAAGTTATAATGAAAATTCGAGAAAAAAAATTATATTCAACACCCTGTATCTCGGAAATGAAGCCTTCTACGACATATGTTTATTGGAACTTTTCTTTTTAAAAACATGTGTTCTATCTCCTGTTAAAGTTTGTCTACAAAAAACTGACTCACCCTGTATAACAAAAAACCTTTATTTTTGACCGAACACGCCCCTGGATTTTTCATCTCTACTTAGGAAACAACCTGTATAAGAGCAGTACTCATACAATTTTTCAAAACAATTTCCAGTTCGAGCTTACAAATGTTAGTTGAAAATAATACTTTATTCTTGTCTTGTAAAAATATGATGCGATTCGTGGATATATTCCCAGTAAGTATTTTTGTTATTCAGGATTTATAACGTTTATTCATATTGCACAATATTATTGCAAGAAACAGAGGTTTTTTATTCATCGTTTAACCACAGTAATTCTTATTCTTATGTTAACACCACCGACTAATTTCTATTCTAATGTCAGCACTTATTGTAACTTGTAACCATTTTAAGCCTTCTGGTTTATAATGTAGTAATACTTTTGCTTTCCCTCCTATTTTGAATACATTTTGCAAACAAATTATATTCGTACATCTCAAACTTACAAATAGATCTAGGCCTAAATATCAAAGTACTGTTTAAACACTAAAACACCGTCCGAACCTAACATTTTTGGCATTATTTGCATTCTATATTTATGATGCAGGAAGCAGCATACATCATTTTATGCAGCTTTCAAGGATTTCCTGGTATATGTGGAAATGCAGTTGATACCCATGTAATCCAATGCAATTTGTGACCCTGCAACTCCGATATAAGTATAACGATTATTTTATGTCAAAATTCAACAAGAATAATTCATTTTATCTCGTTTAAGTAGTATCTGTCGCATACAAACGCTCAAATGGCGTTACTGCAATATAATGTACCGATCACTGCAGCTTTAAGAAATTCAATATTTTTTCAAATTGCACTTTAAATATGTGTACAAGGCAGCGCAGTTGTTCTGGGTATTATATCTTCCAGTTTATTGGAGGGGGCAAATCATTTTAGACTCCTGATTTTTTTCGATTTTAAAATAACATGTCAGATAGTCAAAAAATAGTTCAAAAACTAGTTGTTTTACAAAAATATATAATAATTTTTTATTGGAAATACTATTTTAACAATGTAAATCCTCAATAGTTTCAAAAAGTTTATTCATACAGACATTTTCTGAGGTACGAAAATGCAGCGTGTTTAAATTAACATAAATAAACTTGTTTCCTTAAAAGCTCCTTGAAAAGTTTTTAAATTTCTTACAGATTTCAATATATCAATAAATTACCGAGTTTACGCTTTGTTTTTATTTTTGCAAAATAGTTCCTATTTGCATCCTTTCACTTCAGCCTAGTCTTCCATTTTTTTTGCACACTTTCGAATTGATATCTACTAGATTATAAATGTCATGGCCTACTTATCTTTTAAAATCCACATAAGCGGTTAAAGTCTGCTTTGGAATCAATTAATAAACAACAGTTTTTATTAATCCAGCCAGAGATATGGTCAAATCCTTTAGACTTTGTACTTTTTTTCGTGAAATTCGTAAACAATTCCGTATAAATGTTATGATTCTGGAATCTACGATTATATTTACGGTGGAACTAATTCATTATGCAGGAATTCGATCTGTGACGGTAGTTAAAATATTTGCCAACCACTTTCAAATAGAAAAATTAAACAATTGATGAACATGAGGTATTTTTTATGTAATCCTGTGCTGTAATACCTAAAATAGGTTAAAATTAAACGAATCAATATTTATGGGGCTTTGAACAAACTGAAATTAGCTTTATGATGGCAAGGGTGAATTTACTCAAAAGACAATAGTTATCATATACTGCGATACTTTCAATTATTTATGTTTTTGCCAGGCCCACTATTTATGTTGGAATTATTCAATATACTGCTATGAGGTCTGTTTTTTCTCAAGCATTTTACAGGTGCGGCAAAAATGTATTTGAGTTTGGAACAGTTGAACACATAACTCACCGATTTTGATTGTGAAACCAACGAAAATCAAGGCTTATGAAGTGCGTTTTTATTTGGCCTTGTTTGTAATCTAATAATACGGTAAATTTGCGGAAAATTAATGTAATTTTTTTAATAGTATGGTTCAGAAAGTAGGTACATATTTTTTCTTGAACTGAACTGTATTCGAGTATTGCATTTTAACAAGATATACTTACAGCGTTAACAATTTAATTGTAAAAATGAGGCTACATTTTTCTATTACTATTATTTTATCTAAGCTGTCTAAAGAATATCAATATTAACAAACATTTTATATTTGAATCAATAATATTTAAAAATTTACGCCTTAATTGTTTTGGTACTTTGTCACGTTGCTGTCATAAAAACAATAATAATAATTTGGAAAGATTAAAATATGTTGAGCGCCGAGGCAAATAACAATACGAAAAAAAATAAATCAATTCCCAATAGAAAATAAAAGATATGGTATACAATATGTCACATTAACAAATATAAACAAATTGGCGATAAAATTCAAACGAGCCCTATAGTTTTCCCGATTCAAGATTTATCAACTTTGTTTAAAGAATTTTAGATGCACAGTAGATAATTGGAATACTACAAATATAAATTGATTACTTTTAACTACGACAAAATCAGAACAAAAACTAAAATAACATTATTAAATTGGTTGAACTGAACATAATTATGTATCTTACTCGTCTTACTCATGTCTTTCTCCTTGGAAAAAAATCCTTCAGCTCTATTCCAAAGAACAACTTTCGAATTTGGCGGCCTAGACCTATCGCGGAAACACCCGTCCGATTTTCCAAATCCCGAGTGCTCTGGAAACAAAAGAACGGCGCACGCGACAGTCACGGCCTTCTTCGGCCAACTGATAGTGGACTCGAGCGGTACCGCACTTTCTCCAACTTCTCGATCTCGGGGAAATCACCACCACGTGCTGTCCAATCAGTCCAGAGGTCCGCCACGAACGGAACAACGGAGATTTTAATTCAAACAGAATCCCCCGCGTGATTGCGGACTCCTCGCTTAATCAAGATCACGGAGGTGCATGTTTGGAGGGTGGCGGGAGGTTATTCGAGGACATAATCGCTACTACAGTATCATGCGGAGATAAGTCTGGATGGAAAAACACTGCTGGGGTTGGAGTACACGCAAGTACTGGCATACGATTTATTTTTAGGCTTCTGTATTGTTTTGAAGATAGGTTGTATAAATATTTGCTTGATTAGCTTTGTTTTAAGAGAAAAGTCCAGTGGCGGAACTACCGTACAACAGGGAGCTGTAGGGAGAGGTGGTGACCACTTCATAATCATGAATTCCATTGTTTTTCCAATCACTGACTGTTCGAGTGCAGTTACCCATAGGTATAGAGTAATAATTTTTGGGGAAAAGAAAGAGTAATTAAACAACTGGTTGAAAAAAAAATGAAGTGAATAAGAAGTAGATCTTATTTGTGGAAGGACGAAATGGGCGGTGACTATTAGACGCCTTCATTATAGCCATCTTTCTCTATCGCACGGATTTCTATGACTTTCTTTATCGCTCTTACGTAACGGCCGATGAACCATGAGGACTTTCCGACCCTGTATAGGTATTGTTAAGGTTGCCGTTACTACTTTTAGAGATATTTGTAATTTTCTATTTTTTAGACACTTTTTCTCGTGTCAAATAGGCTATGACCAAAAACACTCAAAACAATTAAAATAACTTGACCTTTGTCAAGTTAGTGGTCAAATTATTGTTATGTCTGTAATAGGTTTTGCTGAAAATTTAAATAAAAACTGCCTGGGGATCGTTTAAATTATACTTATGAGGATTATTTTGATTTGTTTGTTATTTATGGAAAAAAGCAGTAGATTTTCTACATATTCTTGAAATTACTTTGTTAACATTTTCCATAAATAACAAACAAATTAAAATAATCCTCATTAGTATTATAATTTAAACGATCCCCAGGCATTTTTATTTAAATTTTCAGCAAAAACTATTCAGACACAACAATAATTTGACAACTAACTTGACAAATGTCCAATTATTTCAATTGTTTTTTGAGTGTCTCTGGTCATGACCAATTTGACAGGTCTGATACGAGAAAAATTGTCCAAAAAATAGAAAGTTGCAAATATATCTAAAAGTAGTAACGGCAACCCTAACAATGCTTATATGGCTTGAAAGGAAATTTCAATCTGCATACGACAGAGTAAAAATATACAGGGTGTCCTATTTAAGTTAACAAAGTTATAGCTGTTTGAAGTTATCAAAATGTAACAGCAAACATAAAACACCTAGTATTAAATGTTTTAATTTGTTGGTATGCCATAATTTAGCGTTACCTATGCCCTTTACAGGTACCGCTTAATATCACGCTCCTGAAAAGAGTTACTAAAGTCTGTTTAGTAATGAAAGAGAGTAATAAAAGCTTATTATGTATGCAAATCGTAAATAAATGTAGTACTGGTGCTTATATTCAATATTTTTATATTATGTATTATCAGTATAGATGAGGTGTACTTTTAAAAAAACATTGCGTGACCGGGTTGTACTAAATTGTAGCAGGTAGCTAAAATTTAATCCCCGACAATCCGTCTTTGTCTATGCCGCTTCAATTTCTCGGTCCATTTCTCTTATAAGTAAACAATATAAAAACAGCATTTCAAAACATGAGGCTACTTTAAGCATCATAACCGGGTTAAGAGGGTTTTTAGTAATTCAAATAAAATTATTCAATATTATTATCAAAATATTTATTTAAATTTAATGAATAGACTTTTATTCCACACAAAAATATATGTATTTTGAAAATTCAAATTATGGTGAGTAAATGTAGTGTTGTATAAATGTACAATAAAGAAAATAAAAAAGTAGGTATATTAAAATTCATCCTCTGAATATTCTGATGAATTATCTTCGTCTCCTAGATTGATAACGATAGGTTCCACAGTAACGTCAATTAAATTATCGAGTTCCCACATTTTCTCCTCTTCTTTTTGTACATGATGTATACATCTTTGCCAGTTATCTGCAGTTACTCGTTCCAAGGAATTTTTTAACAAAATTTTCACGTCACTTAATTTAAACGTCGTATTATTTCGCGCTACATCTCCTTTTACCTGCGCCCAGACTAATTCGATTGGGTTAAGTTCACAGTGATAAGGTGGTAACCGTAGTACCGTTATTTGGCGATTTGTTGCCATTTCATCGATAACATATTTTTTCTGATCTTTATTAAGATTGACAAGTGTCAAAAGTTCCTTTTTCACCATATTTGTTTCAAAAGAAATGTTTTTTCCGGATAACCATTGAATTATATCGGCTTTCCTCCAAGCAGTCGTAGGCGTCCGCTCGGTCTGCCGTGAATGGTAACTGGCATTATCCATGACAATTACAGACCCCGGAGGAATAAGATCCAACATCTGTGTAAAATACTCTTCGAAAACATCTGCGTTCATGTCTTCGTGATAGTCACCTGTATTTTTAGATTCAAATAAAAGTAAACCGCCATCTACAAAACCACTGGCACTACCTATATGTGTCACTATTAATCTTCGCCCTTTACCTGAAGGTGCCTTGAACCCTGTTGAAAGTCCATCCAAAAATGCTTGTCGAAAACTTTTTACATTTTTATCTTGCCATACTTTTGTTACAGTATATCCCTCGTTGACCCAAGTTTCGTCTAGATAATAAATATTCCTCCCTTCGTCACGGAATTTTCTAATTGATCTTAAGTAGGATCTTCGCCAACAAATAATTTCATCTTTATCGATAAGAACTGACTTCCTGTTCTGCTTTTCCCAGCAAAAATTCAACTCTCGTAAGACGGCCCATAATTTGCTTCTACTGATTTTTGGCAAATCGTTGTCCTCTGAAAGTTCACTTAAAATTTTGTTTAGCGTTGGTATTTCTTTTTTAAAATAAAATGAGTGTACTTTTCTGCGAATGACATTTTTGAAGAAATCATCTATAACGACTTTTGACCTCCCTGTAGATGATTTTGGGGGATTTACAGTATCTTGTTCATTTTTTGTTTCCTTTAAAAGTCTGTAGTTAGTCGATTTTCCAATCCCTGTCATTTTGGAACACTTTTCCACGATGTCGTCAACACTGTTGTAGGATTTTGGTGTTTAAATGCATTAAATACATTTAATATAATAATCTTCTCATTCTGAGACAGCGCACATCTTTTCACGCGTTTAGCAGGTACGTAAGCTAATAAGCTCGACATTTTACCCAAACAATATTATATCCGCTGGCACAATAGTCACTAAATACAAGTCGAATTTTACTCTACTGCACTAGCACGTCTTCGTATATTCAGCTCTAAGACTGGATTGATCTGTCACAATACACTGGCTCCTGCCCTATGATGTATCCAGTAAAATATACTAATGTACACCCATTACCTGTTAGCATTAGTGTTACCCGATAATTACCTGAAACGAAATATTACCACGCCCATGGCCGGTTCTTATCTCGGGGTTTTATTACTCTCTTTCATTTCCAAAGAGAATAGAGTAAAGTTTTTCCGAAGTCAGTTGAACATGCATAAAAAAAACGAGCAATCAAATTTAATGAGTTTCATGGGCGTCCCTAAAAAAGTTTTCTGCTAATGGTAGAAAATTATAATAATTTGTATATAATGTGTAGAAAGTTTCTATTATATGTTCATTTGATCAACAACATATTTTAATTATTTATGACCTCAAACAATTTTATTATATTGATGGTAAATTTCGTTTTGTTCCGTTTCAGAAGGTCTCCAAAATGCCATGTTGTAATAATATTAGTGAACCAAATATCCCTCTTATTTCTTCCCTTCGTAATCGTAATATAGTGATTAATAGAAGGGTGCCTATAATAAATTAAAATTATCTGAATCACACCAAATTCCGCATTCCCGCACTGCACTGCTAGGCGACTTGAATTTTATGACGCAATGGACCAAAGCAACAGTGCGCATTGTTCTTTGCCCGCACGCTCATTCTTCAACTGAGCGCATACATTTCTACCACCTGCATGTTTCGTTCGACCAAATATGTATATGGGTATGGCTAAATAAATGTGAGATTAACAAGTTTTTCAAATATTTCAATGCCGAGTTGCTGCTTAGCGACCGAGCCTGGTACATACCTTGAAGTTATTGGTTCTTCAGTTGACTCGGAAAAATTGTAACTCCGCGTACTCTTGCATGTCAATTTTTGTCTTTAAAAATTAATATCTCAAAATCAATATCTTCTAGGTACAGGGAATATTTAATAAAGTGACCTTCAAATTTCATGTAGAATTCGAAAATGCAATAATATAGGGTGTCGCATTTAACTTGGTGTCGACTTCCGGTATAACCGGATGTGCTAGAGAGCTCTAGATATTTTTGTTGTGTTCGCCCTGCGTAGGAGCAGTACTTTCCTAATATCGATCGACGCAGTTCCCGGTGGAACACCCTGTATATCAAGCATGATTCATATCATAATCTGAGGTACACAATAATAAATTATACAATCCATTGGCGGAGTTTTAAACGGAATAAAGATGGAAGTTTTTTATTACTTACTAAGAAGAAAAAAATATTCTAGTCATTTGTTTGTAACGTGTTCCGATTTCGAATTATTAGCTTACAAGCATAGAATAATTCCGAATCAAAACAGATTGAGGAAATTTTATCAAAATTTTTTAAAAGATATTATTTTAAAATATAATTCAAATCTACATGGGCGTAGCAGGGGGTGTCGTGGCCGCCCCTATTTCTTGCTGCATGCTGCAAGTTTCAAAAATTACATTCATTCTGTATAGTTTTAATTAATATATTATAAATTTAAACAAAAAAAATACTCAGATTGAATCACTTTAGGCTTTTGGCCGTTGGGTAAGAAGGCATGTGCACTGAATTCCTGGCTAGGTCCACGCAAATTTATGAAAATGGTATAAGTATTTTTATTTATTAATTTTTTATTATGGTCATTTTTATATAAAACGGAAAAAATATATTTTAAAACGTAAATTAGTACGTAACACCTACAATTAGTAACGGGTGCATATTAATATACCAACGTTTGTTAATATTTAACGAATGATGGAAAGAGTATTGACTTATAATTTTTTTTAAGGTTTAGATAAATTAAGGCTTAATTAAAACCATACAATTTATTGCTCATTTCGATAACGATATTTTTCATCAGATAGGTAGGTACTTAGCGCTTTTGTTTTTATTTCCTTCCTGCATGTAAACATCGTTCCACAATGTACACATATTTACATTTCATCCAATAGCGGATGAGTAACCTTTTAACGTAATTAATCGAAGTTATTGGTTCTTCCAATGCTCTGAAGAATATAACACTGACCTTAAGGAACAAATATTCTGATATTCATTTATATACATTTGTAACCAAACAATAATTTCCGAATAAACTATTCCAATATTTGATAACAGAAAATAAATATTTTATATGTAAAAGCGTTGAGTGAGGATTCTCACTCAACTTATAAAAATTATGTTTGGATTCAAAAATTGTTACAAGCACACCTATGTATTTAGGTATTTTTATTTTAACTTGTAAGTGAAATAGGTATTTCTTGAATTACTTGAATAGGTCGGCGTTGAAAAAAAAAAAAATTCTTACCTGTTGTTGAAATGAATGTGGTTTCTTCGTTAGCGCCATCTTCTTGGATCATCCTAAGGGATTTAATTAAATAAGCTACTCTGTGGATTTAGTAGAGAACTCGTGGACATCCACCAAACAATATGTCTTGTCTTAATTTTTACATGAGATAAGATAATCTGTGTTTTCCTACACATATAGTTACATCTATCCAATAATATGTTACATTTTACGTGTTATTTATCTTGTTTAAAATAAAATGTTTGACTTGTGTAAGCAACACGAGTTCTTTAAATATTTTACTTGAGACAAAATTATGTCCTAGACATATCATGAGAAGCTAGCTACTGATGCTAGTAACCGGTGTTTTAAAATTTAGTTTTCCAATATTTTTCAGATTTAATTTATTTTTTAAATGTGCCATTTTGTGCAATGTACAAGCACAAGAATTATATACACTTCTCGGTAAAAACATACCAAAAAGTTATTTTATACAGTTTAATTCAAAGTACCACTTCTGTTTCCATAAAAAACGTTGAATACAATGTTCTTAATTAATGTTTTTCAATTTTCTGATGATTTCATAATGATATCTCCATTTCCTGTATTTGTCGTGTATGATTCTCTTAAAGATATAAATTACATTCGTCTTGAAATATCTATTTATAACAACCATAATACATGTTATTCTGTAATGTCAATTTTACTCATAAACATGCTGACAAAATTAAATACACAATTTTATATTATGCCTTGCCTACACAAGCTATGCTTATATCAATACAATACAAAATACCAGCGACTTGAATTGTGTGTTGCCTATTTATTTATAGCAACAGATGAAAAAGACAGATACAGTTCGTAATTATATCCATATTTTAATTGGTTCATTGGTTGGACAGCTTTATTAACAGTCTAATGATGAATCATTCGAAACTGAAATCTAATTCAATGTAGTATAGGTTATATTTACAAATTTTAAATAAAAAAAATTGTAACTGTCGTTTAGCGATATAAACCGCTAAAAATGTTTTCAACGCGGACGAAACAGTGGCTGTTTTTAAAAAACGTACGTACCATAACAGATAGAGCAACTTTAGAAAGGATAATACGAGTAGATCATGCTGGAGAACTGGGAGCTGACAGAATCTATGCTGGTCAAATGGCAGTATTAGGGGCAACTTCCAAAGGTCCTTTAATTCAACACATGTGGGAGCAAGAAAAACACCACAAAGCTACTTTTGAAGAATTGATACGTAAACACAGAGTTCGACCAACTGTCATGACACCTATTTGGAATGTTGCTGGATTCGTTTTGGGTGATTTACTACTTATTGATTAACCTAAGTACGTGTTTGATTCTTATTTGAATTTGTAGGTGCTGGGTCGGCTCTTCTTGGTGACAAAGCTGCAATGGCTTGCACTGTGGCTGTGGAAACGGTTATCGTAGATCACTATAACGATCAATTGAGAACTTTGCTCGAAGATCCAGAATGCAATAAAGAACTGTTGGAGACTATTACAAAGTTTAGAGATGAAGAGCAGGAGCATCACGATACTGGAATCGACCACGGGGCAGAACAAACGCCTTTTTATCAAGCTTTTTCTGGGGCAATCAAACTGGGATGTAAAGCAGCTATTGCCATTTCAAAAGTCATTTGAAAATAATCAAAATGTGCATATGTTAAATTATTTAATAAATTTTAAATATTCGTAACCATTTGCTTTTTATTTTTTAAGAACCTGCCACAATCTTTCATATCATATTTTTGTTTTAGTAACGAGCATAAATTTACTTCAAATAAAATATTCGTCTAATAAACGTAAATCAAAAATAATATTTTTAATGCATGTATTTTCGTTAAATGAACAATTCGGTAAATCAACAATTAGATTTGTTTTCGAAAAACCCGCTACAATTCTTTCGGTTCATATTTTTGTGTTGGTAACAGGTATGAATTTATTTTAAACTTTCAAAAAATATGTTCCTTTAATTAAACCTAATTTAAAACAAAAAATTTGTATATGCTCATATTTCAATAATTTAATAATTTGAAAAATTGAACTTATTCTTTATTTCCTTTTTTATACATGATCGTTGCTATTTAAATTTTGCGGCAGCAAAATGTCCCTAGAATCACCTGTTGCGAATGTTGGCAACGCTTCGGCATCGGGCTATCGGGCAGGTTAATTTTCTTGTCAACACGTGTTAGAAAAAAGTTGTGTATAAATACAGTGTGAAATTTGCATGAAAACCGTAAGAAAATGTCTGTTATACAACGTGTGGTGTAAGTACAATCGTGCGCAAACATTCCGAACATTTTCAACTCGATTTTTGTATGATGTTTTAGTAAACCCACCACACGTAAAGGTAAGAAAGTTTTGATGCGAAAAGAGCCTCAGTTGATAGAAGGACCGAAGAAGGCGTTGTTTTTTCAAGGAAGGAAGACATCCGAAAAGGTCAGAAGTCTTCTGAAAGATTTGTACGACATAAAAAAACCAGAAGCTGCGAGACTATCTCGTAAAAATGATATTACTATATTTGAGAACGCTACGCCTGTCGAAGACTTTTGTAAAAAACTGGAAACGCCTCTGTTTATGATGGGGTCACATAGTAAAAAACGCCCCGACAATTTAGTTGTAGGTAGAATGTTTAATTACTCCTTGTTAGATATGGTAGAACTATATGTAGAATCTTATGAAGGGTTAAAAGAATTTGCTGCTTCTAAAATAACCATAGGTACTAAGCCCTGTCTTATATTTAATGGACCCCAGTGGGAACAGTCAGAAGAATTAAAGCAACTAAAGTCAATATTTATAGATTTTTTTCATAGAGAATATGTAGAGAATGTTAGATTGCAAGGCATAGAACATACCCTTAGCTTTAATGCTACGCCTGATGGCAAGATACTGCTCAGGTCTTATAAAGTTTTGCTCAAGAAGTCTGGGTGCAGAACCCCTAGAATAGAACTGGAAGAAATAGGTGAGTCAAACGAATTTATTTTCCGGTCAGTGTAAATTTTGTTTCGATACGATTTATATTTATTTACATGTTATTTTAATGTACTCGAAGGTCCCAGAGTTGACTTCGTGCTCAGACGCAGCAAACTACCCGAGGAAGATCTGATGAAGGAGGCTTGTCGCAAACCTAAGGAACTCAAGGTGACCAAGAAGAAGAACATAAGCACTGACGAGTTGGGTACGACACACGGCCGTGTGCATCTCGGCAAGCAAGACATAAACAAGTTGCAAACCCGTAAGATGAAGGGACTCAAGAAGACTGCAGCCGAAAGAAAGGCTGAGAAAGCCAAAATGAAAACGGCGATAGTCGTTAATGGTGATATAAACGGGATAGGAAAGAAGAAAGGGTAGAAAGTCATTGTGGTGCCGTCTTTCACAGGTACAAGCGGGTTATTTTAAAAAGATTTGAAAAAAATGTTGTTTAAGAAAATTTAAATTATATATCGTTTTTTTTAATAGGTAACTATGAGCAGGAAGCACTACAGAGAAGTCAATTTTGACTCATCTAGATTTTTTTTGTTTCTCAAGGATGTACAAAATGCGTACACCTTATTTTTAATATAATTAATTTTTCAAAAAAGTTAAATGGTTAAAATTGTGCCCCAAAATTTCGATTTTTGAAAACCACATTTTTTGTTTTTTTGTTTTCTAATACATTCTAATATTTTTGTTTACGAAAAATGTTTTGTAAAAATGCTTCTTTTCCAGTTTTCCCTCAATATATTTATTTAAAACACAATTTTTCATTTTGTTCCACAGTGTATAAATTATTTCCTAGTTTACGAAAAGTATTTATTTCTAAAAAAATACTTATTATTTTTTTTTAGCACAGCATTTGTGTTAAAATAGTCAAAATCATATCTCAGTATCTCAATTTATTCAAAACATTTTTGTAAAAAAACTTATTTACTTTTTTGCATGACACAAGTGTTAAAAGATCAGAAACTTTTTCCAATTTCTTAAAAACACTTCATTTTCTTTCATATTGGATAAATTCTAGTCATTTTCTTGTTTGGAACTATTTATTTCAGCAAAAATGTTTATTTCTTTTTTTGTTAAATGGTTAAAATCGTGCCCCAATATCTCCATTTATTAAGACACATTTTTCGTGTTCTTCCATATTACTAATGTTTAATTTTCTAGTTTAATGAAGGTATTTATATCTATGAATATGTTTCATTTTCATAGCATTAGTGTTAAATAGTCAACATCATGCTTCAATATCTGGTGTTAAATGGTTAAAATTGTGCCCCAGTATCTAAAGTTATTAAAACACATTTTTCATGTTCTTCCGTATTACATAAAGTATAATTCTCTAGTTGAAGGAAATATATTTCTATAAAAATGTTTTTATACATTTTTATTGCATAGTATTAGTGTTAAATGGTCAACATCATGCCCCAGTTCTTCAATTCATTCAAAACATAAATTCTTTTTTTCAATATTGTATAAATTTAGTCATTTTCTTATTTGAAAAAGGTATTTCTATAAAAAACTTTTTTTATTTTCTTTTGTGCATAACACTAGTGTTGAGAGATCAAAATCTTCGTCATAATTTCTTCAAATCTACAAAATTTTATTTTGAGAAAAATTTATTTCTGTAAAATGGTCAAAATCGTGTCTTGCGTCTTAATTTTTTTTTCCGTTTTGTATAAATTCTGGTATTTGTTTTGTTTGAGAAAAATGTTTATCTCTGTAAAAATATTTTTTAATTACTATTTTGAATAGGATTGGTGTTAAAAAGTCACAGTCGTACCCCAATTTCATAATTTGTTCAAAACACACCTATTTTGGTTTCTTTCATATTGTATGAATTGTTTGAGAAAAGTATTTCTGTAAAATGTTTCTTGTTCACTTTTTTGTGCAGCCTTGATGTTAAATGTGTCCCAGTATCACACTTCATTGAAAACAGATACTTTTCGTTTACTTCCATGCACTTCGGGTGTTAATCAAATACTGCGACAAACTAATACATAGTAACTTTTACCATCGCAAATCAAGAAAATAAATTTCTACAAAACATTTCCTTTTCGAGATAAAGGGCGTTCAAATTAAAAAATATGTCACATTTATTTAAATATCTACTCGAGCTAGATTGATGAAATTTGGACTAATGACTTGACTAATAATGGGTAAAAATTTGCTGAGTTCGTACACAAATCTGTCAAACCAGTGGCAGAGATTCTGGGAAACACGATCATTAAGAACGCTAGAATTTTGAACAACACTGAATATTTTGGATAATTTCAGTTGATATTTGAAAGAAAAAAATGTGTTATTTCATTTGAAAACAAGCCATTTGCCAGTTATTTTTATTTTTTTTTAATATAAACCCTCAACATCCTTGAATAAATAAAAAATAATTGCAATACTATTCGCATTTCAAAAAAAAATTATAGCAATTTTTTTGGAAATACAATTTTAAATACAGTATGCTTATGAAAATTACAGGAAGATCAATGGTGTACAAATTTTTAATTCAGAAGGATATTAACTCGAAAAAAATATAAAATTATTGCTTCAGCAATATTTGTTCAGTTCTAGTAGTTATATTGTATTTAAAATTGTATTTCTAACAAAAAATTCTTGCTTATTTGCAAGACTCAAGAATTGAGCATTTTCGGATAGAAAATCCACCATCAAAATTTGTTGGAGTACATCAACAGCATATACAGGGTGTTTGTAAATAAATGCGAAATATTTTAGGGTGTGGTTGCCGAAGTTATTTTGTGAAAAAAAGTTCATATAAACGTTGGTCGAAATATGCTTTATTTCCGAGATACAGAGTTTAAATTTTAATTTTTTATTTATTTTTATTAATTAGTTCAAAAGGTTTTAAAGATATTGACTCGACATTTGAAAAACGCTTTGGAGGGATAAATGTTCATTTTTTTGGGGTGATCCGAATATTTCTACTTGCACCAGTGGCATTCGTGCAAGAATGCCACAACCTTTTTTAATAAAAAAAAAATAGTACGCCACTGACTTCCCGTTTTGATATTTTTTTAGAAATCCACCATCAATCCTGAATGAAATTGGTCTCTTTAAATTTTTTCGTAGGATACACCGTTTTTGAGGAAAAAAATTAAACACATTTTATTGCAAGTTGTGTATTTTTAATTTCTATTGATACATTATCTAGTAGGTGCTGTCAATGTTTCTAAATAAAATACAACTATTAAATTTGGAGTCAATATCTTTAAAACTCTTTGAAATAATTAATAAAAGTAAATATAAAATTAAAATTTAAACACTCGGAAACGAAACATGTTTCGGCCTACGTTTATATGAACTTTTTTTCACAAAATAATTTCGGCAACCACCCCCTAAAATATTTCGCACTTATTTACAAACACCCTGTATATAAATTCTAGTAATTTGAGATTGTTTATTTCTGTTTCTTATTCACTTTTTGTGTAGAGATAGCATCGGTGGTATTTTTCTATAGCTCCATTTAATAAAATGAGTAAAATTTGCATTGTAAGTAACATGTCACACTATTTTTGCTTAATTTTACTGTAATGTACAGTGAAGAGATGTTTGTTGCGAAAGAAATATCCATACATGTTTATTTTACAAGTCAGTATAAAATTTCTTAAAAACATAATATACACACTAAAAAAAAGGGAGTTAAAGAATTATTTAAATGTGGAAGATTAAGATGGAGTGATTTTTTCCTTACATATAATCTCAAAAATCTATCCAAAAACACCTTAGAAACCGTTTGGCTATATTTTTGTGAAATTGAATTTTCTAAGTGTTAAAATTGACCTCCTGTACATTTTTAGCTTAAATAAATTGAGAAACACCAATGAGAGAAATAGTTCAATTTTTTCTTTTTTTTGTGTTATATTTCTTGATGCTTTTTATGTAATAGTTATCTTGCAGCTATCGAAAACTCGGAATTGTCAAAGAGCAGGTTTTTTTAATATGCTGAGTTTTTTGCCATATGAACACTTTGTTTTGATATTTGATGAATATTATTTTGAAATATTTCATCAATTTAATATAACAGTTACATCAACTTGTCTATATAGTGTTAATCTTGAAGATACTTTTTTTTATTAATTAAATAATATATTTACGTTACACATTTTTAAAATAGAAGTATCATATTTTATCTGAAATATTTCTGTTCATTTAAATTGATACGTTTAAGAACAATATTATCTAAACGCTTTTTTTATTTTTAAATAACCCGTTTGTACATTTTGTACATTTACTTTACTTTAGCTACAAATATTGTTGAAAAGTCGACATTTTTATACTATGGAATATTTTCCTATCTTCCAAGAACAAATTCGAAGCTTTTCCTATAAAACGGTTATTGAAAATGTGGATTTTTGCTTTATATTTGTACCGTACATGTTAATCTTATTGTTGCTGTAATTATTAGGTTAAATTTTATTGTACATTAAGATTAACCTTCTTTTTAAGACCTTTTTATAATTAAGTAATTGTAAATATATTTTTATGATTTAGACAATGTTTAGGTGACTAGTTGTAATTAATAAAGGATTTTTTTTTATAATTATGTAGTTAAAATATATTTTTAGTTGGTAATTGTTAATTTTAAATTAAAATTAAATGTTTGCATTATTTGGTCAAATTTAAAGGTAAGTTTTTATATTTTCTCTAGTCCTGAAGTATGTCGCTGAAAAATTCAATAGATGTTCTCTCTGCTCAGAATTTGGGAATAGCATGAAAAATTATTTCTTTTAGAACTGCATAAATTTGTAGTTTATAACTGATAACTAATAATGTTAAAAAAAAGTTCTTAAATGCTGCAAATTATAGATTTATAAAAATTTTAAATTTGTTAATTGATCAAGAACGCATTATGACCTCATTAGTGTGACAAAGAAAAGAATATTCTATCTTCTCGGCTGTTTGCTGTCTAATCTACATCTACAACACATGCCGACGAGATGGAAATTAGTCAAGTGAAACAGCGGAGAGTAAAGTGAACTTAGCTGTTCCTAGACTCCTATGCTCGTGTTGTTGCATCGTCCGGTCTGTCATTCATCTTGATTTTCGGTTGCACTAAATGACGTTACAAATTAGCGCGGCAGCAAACATTTTCAAACATGTATTTTGTGCGCCAAGCTATATTAATTTGTTATTAATTAACAACCCCTAAAAAATTTCCACATGATTATATAAGGTTATACTTATATTATTTTCCGACATTTAAAAGAATATATTATTGCCCATTGCTCAGAAATATGTTGAACCAAAAACTGTAGTTCGTAGTTGAATTGATAGAGTACAAAATATACTTTTGAAGTTAGCAGAAGAATGTGGAAGGATTGAGGTAAGGTCCGCAGTAATGTCACAAAACAACTAACCGTATTGGAAATAAACGCGTTTAACGTTGAATATACCAAACTACTTCTGAGAAATCTTAATAATAAAATAGAAATTATAGTCATTTATGTAGTAAAATAATTACCCATGTCAAGTCAAAGTGTTGTAGGCATTTATTGTTAACATTTAAATTCGAGCGCTCTTTACTGGTACTAAATGTAAGAAGAAGAATAAGAAATAAGTAGAAAGAGCGTGTTCTCTGGGTCTATGTAATATGTTTCTTTATGGTGGGGGTAAAGTTAAAATATTATGCATTTTATATGTTTATATGAAAGAAATAAGAGTAGAAAAGTTGGAAGAAAGTCAAGAATAAACGAGTTATTTATTAATCTCCCGGTCATCCCTTACAGCATGAAACGTATAGAAGAGAAACAGAAATTATTAAATCTTACTTTACTATTCTTTATTTCTATAATCTGTGGGAATTTGTTCTCAAAACGCGCAAGCGCAGTTATTTATGGGTCGTATTTATTAATAATTCGGCGGGAAATTCCAAAATAAGAAAAATTCCATTCCTAAAATTTTTCCTAATCGGAAAATTTCCCTAAATTAAAAATTTAAGTTACTTTTCCCTCCATATACGATTGAAAACATGTAATTATTACAACAGAAATAGATAATATTACATTTTCGGTTGCACACGCCTATGAATCTTACGTATGCCTGTGCTGACGAAAATCACGATCACAATAAAAAACAAGCCATGTGTTTGTTTCGCAATTCCTCAATCCTGTTGTTGAATCTACGCAGATCCGCCCACGTTAATTTAATTTTCATTTACATATGAGGAAACGTAAACAAATAATATTGCCCTCGTTTTTTTTTAAATCGTCGTATTTATTATTTTAAACAATCTTTATTAACACGCGTTTATGCGGAACTGTTTTATTAAAACACAGTTTATCCATGCAAGCACGATGCTACGCTGGTAAATTATTGCATTTTTTTGGGGTGGTATTTGTTTACTATTATAGACGTAATTATTCAATTGAGATGGTTGTGCCCGTCTGAAAATATTTCGGTGGATCTATTTTAGGATAAACACAAATAAACAAAATAAATTACATAACTCCAAAGAGTAAAAGTTATGCCAGGAATTTTTAGTATCTAGGGATTTTAGTTCCTTCAGTTGCAATAACTAGTTGGAAAAGGTGTAATGTGATGTAGAGAATCACACAAAATTTGTTGTTTTTTATTTGCTTATTGGAATATTTGTGCGAAATTTGTAATGAAAATTTGTGTAAAATACTAAGTGACGTGCCGTAGTTAAAAAACCATGACGATTAATACCCCGTTTCGGGAGTTAAGCGACCTTTAAATTTCTTGACCTGGGCCAAGTTATCCATGTTTGGTTTTAGGAAAAATAATACGTAAATTTTTTTATTTTTATTTAAATTTTTCTTCCGGGATTTTGTAACAAAGAATCACCCGTAAAAATGATCGTGACCAAAGGCAGTATATTCAACTACAGCATACTCTTCTACATACTTCATTATGTAGGGCAAGGTAAATGGTTTACAAACAAGGTGCAAGAACCAAAATAAAAACAAACTCAATTTTAGACACCGACGCAGCCGTGGCTCATACTGCGCCTATTACCACCCAATGTGAGTACTACAATAGTACATGCAATGGGGCAGGCTATCCGGGGTGCATGGAAGTAGAGGAATGTGGACATCCAGTGGAGGGACAACAAAATCATTGCTATGTACTGTGGTCTATACAAGAGGATGGCACAGTGAACGTATCTCTCAAGGTAAACACATACGAGCACGATGCACATTTAATAACTCAATAATATTAGGTGATGTGAAAAGTTTAAACATTTGTGTTGTAGGGATGTTTTCTTAATGCCGCTGATTGTGTGAACCAAACGAAATGTGTCGAAAAAGACCAGAACCCCAAGAACAACTTGTTGTTCTGCTGTTGTGAGGGTAACATGTGTAATACTAATTTTAGTTGGGAACCGTCACCTACGGAAGCTTCTCCTAGTAGTAAGTTATTGTGGTATTATTTATCTTCTTCTAAAATGTTTGTTTATTTTAGCTGCAGTACCAACTCACGAATCTGTGGGTTTCAATTACTACTACATCATTCTGATTATATTTGGAATACTTTTCATCATATTTGTGACAGCAGCTACATTCTTTTGGACAAAGCGGAACAAGCCCTACTTCAATGGGGTAAGGTTTTGTTATAATTATCAAACATTTCACTTAGCGGATCGTTAAAACTGGCAATGACGGTATTTTTTTGAGTAATTTTTCCTCAAAGCGATGACGTTAACATTAAGGAACATTCTGCATTTTAATTTAATTGTTTCTTTTGCATGCTGCTCTTTCAGTGGGGTGTAAGTGGCTATTATCTATTCAAGGTATCGCTAGATGTCGCTGATGTTTCCTAACAAATTTACACATTGTGCCGTTCTGATTTTCAGTTACCAACCTCAGAACCGAACCCAATGCCTCCGCCATCTCCGTTCTTAGACACGAGACCGATCCAGTTGTTGGAGATAAAGGCCAGGGGAAGGTTTGGCGCTGTGTGGAAGGCGCAGTTGAAAACCGAAGAAGTGGCCGTCAAAATATTTCCCATACAGGTATTTACGTTCAGATAGTTCGGAAAAGGCAGGTTAAAATAAAAAATTGTAGGACAAGCAATCCTGGCAGACGGAGCAGGAGATATTCAAGTTACCGTATATGGAGCATCCCAATATTTTGCATTACATCGGGGTGGAGAAACGTGGCGATAACCTCCAAGCAGAGTTCTGGTTGATCACCGCATACCACGAAAGGGGATCACTGTGCGATTTCCTCAAAGCTCACACGCTGACTTGGAACGAACTCTGCCGCATTTCAGAGACCATGTCGAGGGGTAAAAGTGATGTTTTCAAGTTATGACTGATGCCCTAAAAGTTGTCGTTTTTAGGTTTAATGCACTTACACGAAGCGATTCCTGGAAAAGGTCCGGGAGAATCCGCGAAGCCTTCCGTAGCTCACAGAGACTTCAAAAGCAAAAACGTGCTGTTGAAGAATGACATGACGGCTTGCATAGCCGATTTCGGTCTTGCAATTATTTTCGAGGCCGGTAAATCGTGTGGGGACACTCACGGGCAAGTAGGAACAAGAAGGTAAGCAAATTGACAGCTTGATGGTTACAAGCATTGAACATCTGTGTTTATTTCTCTTGGACAGAGTAGAAGCTGCTAACAATAGAATACAGGGTGTTTTGTAAAACTGATAGATGTGTTGGGATCCATAAGTATAGTGTTTTAATGTAACTTCTCTACCAAGTTGCTTTATTATTAAGTAAATGGCGTCAAGTTAGTGTGATAAACAACCACAACCCTTTGTTTAATAATAATATAAATAAAGTTTGGTATGCCATGGTTTTTTATGTCTTCTTCTTCTTCTTCATGTATTTGTGGTTAGGTTATATTCAAGTCCCATAGCACTGCGGCCTTATTCGGCATAACGTGAGGCCCATTAGTCAAACTTGTTCAGGTAATTTCCATTTAACAAAGTCCAAAAGTTTTCTTGCTGACACTTTTCTCAACCCTTTGGGTTGCAATAAAAGTTCTTCCAAGAGCGTTATTCTACTACGTACATATCCTGGGCGCTTGTCCAGGAAATACATAGAAATCGAGTGTAGACGTAACAGTTTGTCGTTGTTCATTGTAAATGAGTCATTAATATTGGTGATTTAGTGAGTTTTCGCTACCAGTACCAGCTCGGTGGTCACGTGGCTTGTAAACATTTATGAAACCTCTGTACCTGACATATTGAAATTGTTAAATAATGTAATCTTTCAAAGAAATATCTTGCATTTTTGTTGCTCTAACCTTTGAATGAAGACCAGCATGTAAAAATAGCCTCTATAATTTCCATTTCCACATTTTATTATAATTGTTTCCAGTGACGGCTCATCAGGTGACGCAAGTGACGCACCGCTTCACCTAAAATTTCCGTTTGATTGTGCAATTTAAAATTATTTTTAATATTATATAAATTTTATAATTTAGGTATAATTCTATATTGAAAATGTATTGTGTTTGTTTAATACGCAGAAATAAACAAAATAGTTGCGTGTTAAACGCCTTCTAAAAAAACATTGCCTTTGTTGAGCGCGAACATCAACCTCGTAGATTGAAACAGTCTGTATTCCGCTTCTCTTCGTAGCGTTGTTTACGGCGGTTGTCATGGCAACAATGCGACACAGGGCATTAAACTACGGTGTGGGGAAACGAGTGACACGGATATTGAAGCAGCATTGTCATCGCCCATCGTCTACCTTTAAACAGATTAGACGATACAGCGCCCAGTGCACGATTATAACGGTTCTTAGTTAATATTTGTTTTGAATAATAGGAAAAATGTTTCCATATTTGAAAAATCGCTCGAACCCATCGAATTATATTTTTAGTCGCGCGTTTTTTGAAGCAATTTTCATTTATACAGGGTGACCCAGAAAAAGTTATGAAATCAAGGACAACTTTTTTAAATGTAAAGCCCACTTTTTTGTTTTTTTATTCAATTCTCCATGGAATTCTGATAATTTTTTATGTAACATAACCTATACCTATCTAACCGTTTTTGAGATAATGGCGCCTGAATATAGAATATGGAAAATTTACAAAAAATACTCTCGATACGTAAGGACTGTAATGTCAAAGTCAGTGGGAACTGGAGTACTTTCTGCTAAATACATTTTGTGTTTTTGTATTTTGTGTTTACAAAAAAAACATGAAACAGTGCTAAAAATTTGCAAAATAACCTGGTTTGTAATTTAAATAGTGACATTTAACAAAATCATATACAATAAAATTTTGCGTTTTTAATTAAATTATACCTAAATACCTCACTTATATTTTTTGCATTCAAGTCATTGCGTCCTAATGATCAAAATAAATCACCGAACCACTTATTTCTTATGGATTTTTCTGATTTCAAGCAACTTTCTGTGAACCACACAAATCTAAGATGGAGAAGTAAACGTGGTTTTATTTTAAAACCAGCAGGGTAAATCTCAGGGTAATTTTTTAAAATTTTCCATATTCTGTATTCAGATGCCATTATCTCGAAAACGGTTAAAGATAGGTGTAGGTTATGTTACATAAAAAATGATCAGAATTCCATGGAGAATTGAATAAAAATACAAAAAAGTGGGGTTTCCATTTAAAAAAGTTGGCCTTGATTTCATAACTTTTTTTTGGGACACCCTGTATAAATGAAAATGGCTTCAGAAAATGCGCAACTAAAAATATAATTCGACGAGTCCGAGCGATTTTTCAAATAACGAACATCTGATTTTTAAATAAATATATTCCATACTTTTGCCGCTCACTGTATATTTATGTATATTTATTCTGGAACAAAATCAAAGATACTACATTTATATGTTTCCGCATGCATATGAATTTTGAATTTCATAATTGTTTAAGATTAACATACATTGAATCCATTTTAAAACATAGGGCAAAAGAGTTTTCGGAAACAAAAACATTTAAACACTTACAAACTTAATTTTGTGTACTTGGTGGTACAGATGCTGGGATAGACCTCTTCTGGAAAAAGTCTGTCATTGTTTTTTGAATTTGATGGTTTTTCAATTCTTTTAAAAGTTCTTTGTATGGTGAAAAGAGGTTGTCCAGTCCTCTGCTAATAACCATACTCCTCTGCATATCTGGATCTATCTCAATGATCTCAGGTTTTAACTGTGACATCTTGTTTAACACTCCTTGAACACTTTTTGTTGTTAATGGATTGATAACACTGAATTCTTCTTCATCCTCCTCTGAACTCAAAACGAAGTCTTCTCGAGTTAATTCTTCAAGTTCTGTATAAGTGAGACCGTCGTCTTTATTTCGGGTCAATTCTTCCACATCTTCAGCCACTATATTTTCGAAACCTTCCTTCCCCACTTGTGTGCTTATTTCCACAATTTTGTCTATTTCTCTGTGAATCTGGTTCTACTGCACTTTCGTGAACACACTGAGGCCATAGTTTCTTCCAGCAAACATTAATGTTTGACAATTTCACCTCCGCCCAGGAGGCAGCAATATTTTCTATTGCATTTAAAATAGTAAATTGGTTCCAGCATTCTTTAACAGATATTTCCAGATTTTCTTCCAAACGGTGCAAAATATGAGAAAAACTACGTCTAGCAGCCTAGTAGGCTCACCTACTATGAGCCTTAAATGTTGCAATTGTCAACGATGCACTTTAAAAGTTGCCCATACATATGCACTGCTTTGTATGGGCAGCAAGTGTGTTTATGCTATCCTCGAAAATTGATGAATCTAGACAAGGTTTGTTATGCATTGAGTTCTTGCATATGTACACTTGTGATTATTTATGGTTTCTCATAATCAGGTATTCATCTGTAAAATGTGTAAAATTTGGACCGTGAATGACAAAGCAAACGTCCCACGAACGGCAAAGAAAAGGTGACATGGATAGCTACCGCATAAATTTAAATCCGTGAACCACAAATCCGTGAACGCCAAGGATTTACTGTACTGTGCTTCATTTCTCTATGTCACTTCTCAGGGGAACACACTTACATTTCGGAACTCATTTTGTGGTGGAAAAGGATGATTTAGAAAAAAAATTTTACAAAAGATTATTAGTTTTCGGCGTAAAATCGCGATCAATAAGAAAAAGTATTCCATTAAAAAAAAACTGACTTCTGGTCTAAATAGACCACTTCCGGTGGGAGCCGGAAGTTGAAAATACAGTAAGACCCCGCTTAATGCTGTTTCGTTTAGCGCTGTTTCGGTTTCGCGCTCTTTTATTTCTACCCGGGGATTCGCCGAAATTGCTCGCAGCACTACGGGGATTCCCCGAAATTGTGCGCAGTGCTAGGTTTCCAAATATGTACATACATAACCTACCCGAAACAGTGTAGTTGTGTTTCTTGTTTGGTGCGGAGCTGTACGGACGCATTTTTGTCAGTTGAAACATTTGTTGATATTATTGTAAGTATAAATTTATATAATACTATAGCGATTAATACAGTGACAAATATTATGATCTTTAGTTTTTATCATGGGTGATAATGAAAAACAAGAAAAGAAAGCAACCAGAAAAAGCATTTCACTGGAAACTAAAATGCAAGTGATTAGAAGATTAGATTCTGGTGAACGTCAATCTCAAATTAGTGCTGCATTGAATTTGGAAAATGATCCAAATTTTGACAGCAGTTCAAAAGCAAGACGGGGTGTTATAGATGCTTTATCCACTTATCAACAACTTCTAACAGAACGCAAAAGGAAAACGCAAACTACATTAGATGCCTTCTTGACAAAAAGGCAGAAAATTGGAAACACAATAGACTGAATCATTTGACTGACTTTTATTTGTTTTTATAAGTAATATTCGTTTATATTGTTTTTATTTTTGTAAGAAATAAATGTTTGGTTTTATTTTTATTAAAAAAACATAATTATTAAATTTAATACCTAACCAATTTTCTATCCATCTTCCCCTAACCCCATTATTTACATGTTAAGATAGCCTCGTTTAGCGCTGTTTCGCATTACGCTCTACTTTGATGGAACGTATCCTACGCGTTAAGCTGGGTCTTACTGTACTTCCAATCGATCCGGCATAGTCCATTCATTATTAGGAGGTATTGAATTTTTCATTTTATTAGATACCCTAGATTTCAGAAAGGGTGGATGGGTGGTGTGAAACATCCCGTATAATTTTATTCTATTAATATTTATTAATTTCTTGTCTTTAATTACCTATATTGGAAAAGAAACTTTTAGGTCGCATAATAATAATATGTGCTAGTTGCAAATATAATTGATTGCCGTTTTTATGTGCCAATGAATGGCTGTGAGTCTACCGTAACTAGACGCATGTATTTCCATTTAGGTACATGGCTCCAGAGGTCCTGGAAGGAGCCATCAGCTTCACGCCGGACGCCTTCCTCCGCATAGACATGTACGCCTGCGGGCTGGTCTTGTGGGAACTGGTGTCGCGGTGTACGGGCCAGGACGGGCCCATACCCGAGTACAGACTGCCCTTCGAGGAGGAGGTGGGGCAGCACCCTACCCTGGAGGACATGCAGGAGTCTGTGGTGCAACAGAAGGTCCGGCCTGTCATCCAGGAGCACTGGAGGCACCATCCGGTAGGTTCAGAAGACGTTTTACCTTGAAATGTGTGAAATTTATATATTTCTTTTTTTTTTTAGGGTTTGGCAGCTATGTGCGACACGATGGAGGAATGTTGGGACCACGATGCGGAGGCCAGACTGTCGGCCTCTTGCGTCATGGAGCGGGTGATGCTCCAGATGAAGTACCAACAGCCAGCCATAGGGTGGCGGATCGAAAACGAGACACCACTGACACCGTTGAAGGAGAACAGCATATAGGAATAAGGTAAGTTGTCTGCTTAATTCTACCTTGCAAAATAGGTAATTCTTTTATGTAATATTCGTTTTTTGAATCGTTTTTAATCAAATATGAATTCGTGAAAATAATGCGATTGCTTTTGTGTAGATAATCATTTGGAAATATTTTTTGAAGCAAAACTATTAAAGGTCCCCTACACCGGCATAAAGCTTTGGTGTCTCCAACTTTTCGCAGCGAAACATTTGCAGGAACTGAAAATTTGTGCGATTCTTTTGTGAGAGAAGTGTGTAACGAGTGGGTGGTACTAAAAATATTTGTATGGAGCATTTTCATTTTCTATGGAGCTGTCATAAAATGCTACTTTTCATTTGTCAGTGTCCATTTATCATAAATTTTTTTCAAATTAAGTGAAGCTTTCTCCTGATTCTGACCCTCCAAATATATAAACTTGTCCAGATCTTAAAATTAAGTCATTGTTTAACAATTTTGATAAATCTTTTAGACCAGGGCGGATCTGTTTTGAGGCGGATGTGACAGGGGGCAAGCAAATTTTTTCTGGATTACCTTCAGTACAACTCACATAATAAAAGTGTAGATCCTTAGTTCTGGGCGAGGTCCGGAATATTTTCAAAATTGCAAAAATGTTTAAAAAATTTTTAAAATACCTATTTTATCCGAGTTTTTTACTTATATCTTGGAACCTATGCATTTTGGAAGAATATTCAAGAGAAAAAAAGTTTTAGTATTGAATTTTACACAATATACTGTACGTTAAAAATGTTTAAATTTATTACCGATATTGCAAAATAGCAATAATTGATGAAAAAAAGGCAAAATAATCAAGTTTTTTGGATAATTTTTTAAAAATATTTTGGTAAAAAAAAACAACACACCAAATTTCATTAAAATCGGTTGGATAGTTTCTACAAAATAATTTTTCAAAAAAAATGTTGAAAAAAGTTTTGAATTTTCAAAATGTTGCACACTCTCAAATAAAGCATCTAGATACTTGAAAATTTTTCACATAGAAAAGACCGCTCAACCTTTATTAAAAAAATTTTTTAAAGTTAACACTTTTTATTTTTAAACAATTAGATTACATTTATCAATTTGCAATTTTGTTTTTTTCAAAAATTATAATTTTAAAGTACTATTTTTTCTTAATTTTATCTGTATTTAACAAAAAAATT